ATGGGGCAGCCACAGCTTGCCTGAGTGATCTCACAGGCAGCCCCTTCCCAGCACTGGAATTCCCCTTCCCCTGAGCCAGCCAGACTTCACCCACCCATCCCAGGGCTCCAGGCATCTGCCCTTCCAGGCTGTCTCCATTCCTGGCTTCAGGAGCTGTGACATTTGGGAAGGACCTTGGCTGGTGGCAGGTGTTCCTGCAGGATCAGGGTGTACTCAGCAGGGAGGGGCTTTCCCAGGGTGGGTGACTGAGAGCAAGAACTTTGGGTGCTGGGAGGTGCCAGCTGGAGGTGTCTTAGCTTGGATTAGGTTTAGGAATATCAGTTGTTTCATCCAGAGCTTCAGACTAGACCTGGAAAGCCACATCCTATGAACCTCCTGGCTACACCTTCTTCAGTGCAGACATGAAGCAACACTCCTGTGGCCGAGCACGGGCAGGACAAAAGGGAAGCTCCAGGTGAGCTAAGTTATAAATGATCCTCATTTATTATAGAGTTGGATACTGAGCTGCTGTAAATCCCTGACTCCAGCCCCACCAGCCAGCTCCTCGGCTCCTTTATCCCTGGAAGTGCCCAAGGCCAGGTTGGATGGGACTTGGAGCAACCAGATGTACTTTGGCTTTGTGTTCTTTCCCTCTCCTGCTTTTTTTCCCCCTTAATCCCTCATTTCTTTTCAACCTTTTAAGCTCCCTCTCTACAGACAACACAACCAATGTATCTGAGCCAGGCCCTGGAATTCCTGCTGGGAAACGGAGGTTGTTATATCTTAGGGAGAACTCCCTGCCCTTCCAGGACCCCTTCGGACCCATTCTTCACTATTTATCCACAGTTAGTGCATATCAAGGAGCGGCAGAAAACCGCAGTCAGGAGCTTCTGGGGTGGCAACTTGCAGCTCTTCCCAAGGAGCTCCAGGCAGAGGGAGATGAGTGCCCATGTTCCCGTCTCATGTGTGGGAGGTGGCCCAGAGACAGTGCAGAGACACGTCTGTGTCTCTGAGGCTCCAACTGGAGTGTCTGGAGGCTCCAGCCAGAGCTCTGCTGGAGAGTTCCACCAGCCCAGGTTGCTCCAAGCCCTGTCCAACCTGGCCTGGGACACTTCCCCAGGTGGGGCAGCCACAGCTTCTCCTCTCAGCAGCAGCCACACTTGGAGCTCTGCTCGTGTCCTCCCTCTTGTTCAGCAGAGCTGCTTTAGAAACCCGGTGCTGGCTGAATTTCTAATCCTTAAAACATTCACAGGAACACAGGTTTCATCCCACTCAGTGGATTATCCCAAAGAATAAGAAATATTGGCACAAACATCGCTCCGGTTGGGGTTTATTCGATAACAAAGGGAATAATCAGGAAGCACAGGAAAAGTCTGGGGGCCTGACACAAAAATCTGATGGCCCTTGATGCAATGACATCTTTCCTCTTCCTGAGCGGATTAAGAAAGATCTACTTCCAAATTTATAGAATCCCAGGATCACTGAGGTTGGAAGAGATCTCCAAGGTCACGGAGTCCAAGCTGGGACTGATCCCAGAGCACTGAGTGCCACGACCAGGTGTTCCTTGGACACCTCCAGGGATCCACCACCTCTCTGGGCAGCCCCTTCCAAGGCCTGACCACCCTTTCCAGCAGGAAATTCCTCCTGGTGTCCATCCTGACCCTCCCCTGGCACAAGGAATTTGTTTCCCTCCAAAACATTGTAACAGGTTTGCCATGAAAATTAATTAGAGTAAAATTTCCTTCCTCGTGTTCATCCCAAATAAACAACTTCTCCCAGACCTGGAAATGATATAATTGTGTGTCCAGTTCACAGTATTTAAATCCAACCTCAATCTCTTTATTAAGTACATGGGGTTTTTTTAAGGTTAGATTATGTCCTAGGCTGTTCCCATAAAGCAAGGGTTAGAATGTCTATGGTTTAATAAAAGGAGATTAATATGGAAATGAAACAAATCTACTGTTAGAAAAATAAGCAGAATCAAAATCCATTTAACTGAAACCTGCAGCTCTTTATATTTAAATCATAATACACTTAGAGCAGCAGCTTCCCTAAAAACTGTCCTTGTCCCAGATAGCCCTTTATTCTTCCTTCTGTGTTCCTTGTCAAGGAGCTAATTCAGGCAGCTAATTGGGACAAAAACTAATCCAACCACCATGTATTCCCCCAATTATTCCCTTCTTCATCCCTTTCCTATTCTTATTCCCATGTATTTTTTCCAGGAGCTTGTAATTCCATTATAAGTACAAGTGAGGGATGGCAGCGCACAGTGCTCAAACCAAGGGTGTCTGGTGAAATTCTGGGGGTCTGGGATCAATAATAAATACTAATAAGGCAAATAATATATAATAATAATGTATTATAATAACAACCACCTTTTTTTGCCATCAGTGGAGGGACTTCAAAGACCACTCAATAATTTAAATAATACCGTGTGGGTGAATAAACTGTTAAATCTCGTAAACTCCCTCCAGATGATATTCCCAGAGAAGCTGTGGCTGCCCCATCCCTGGAAGTGTTCAAGGCCAGGTTGGAATGGGAATCCACAACTTTTCTGGGCTGTACTTTAGTCACCAACTAGATTCCAATCAGTAGGGAAATAATAACAATAATTGTGTTTTTTAATTGCTTTTCACTGTTTAATCTGCTTTGACACATCTCCAAACAACATCCCTCTATAATTTAATGAAATATGTATATAAATGTTTTCAGGGAAAAACATATTTCCAGATGCTGGTTCTTTAGGAAATAGGAAAGATTCCTGCTGAAATCTTGATAAGAAATTGCTTTATTGTGGTTTTTGTGCTCCTGTCATCACAACCTATGGAATTCCATACTGACCTACATCTGCCCATTTCCAAAAACTGAAAATACATGGAAAATCTCTTTGCATCCCCTGCACCTCTTGGCCTTTTCCCAAATCCACTGTTTTCTCCCTAATGGGCTCTGTTATTCCATACCCATTAGCAGATCCTCAAATGATGACATTTCGTTTTAATTGAAATCAAACATCTCATTCCATTAGGGAATTAGAAAACAAACCAAATTTTAATCGGAATTCATACAAGTCCAGAAGAATATTTTCCTCCCTCTGAGATTATCTTTCCATGGAAATCGGAGGCATTTTTTGATGAAACTTATCTTAGTTAAGCCACACTGAGATGGGTGAATTTAAGGTCCCCTCCAACCCAAACCATCTTCATGTTGACCCCATGAAGCTCAAAGGAATATAATAGAGGTTGCGTCCAAATTCTGAATTTTTTTGGGCTTCATTTTCCCACTTTTTTGGAGGGAATGGGGAGTCTGGTAAAATTTCCAAAGAGTATCTGCAAATCCATAAATCCACTGAACAAGTGCACTCTCAACTCGTTCATGGATTTATGGAAAGCCCCATTTAGATGTCTTTTTATAGGAATGACAACAGGCACAACCATAGCCCCAAACTGGAGCAAACTGGAGTCTGGTACTTTGCCATCCTGGTATTACAGTTTACAGACAGCGCAAAAATTCCTTTTGGAGTTCCGGAATATCAAGGTGAGACTTTTTGGCCAGTTCCTGTACTTTTGACACCACTTCCAATGTTCACAGAGCATTTCAGCTTCCCGGGTGCTGCCCCAGCGAGGGCCGGGGGGTCCGAAGGGCGGGAAACCCCTCACAGGGTCTGCTGAGGGTTGGGTTGGGGGGCTGAGGGGTCTGAAACCCCTAAAAGGATTTGCTGTGTGTTGGGGGTCTGAAACCCCTGACGGGGTCTGCTGAGGGCTGGGGGGTCTGAGGGGCACAAAACTCTTTGAGGGTCTGCTGATGTTTGAGGGGAATGAGGGGTCTGAAACCCTTGACAGGGTCTGCTGAGGGCTGGGGGGTCTGAAGGGCAGGAAACCCCTCACGGGGTTGAGGGCTCAAAATGGTGGGAAACCCCTCACGGGGGCTGCTGAGGGGTGTGGAGGCTGAGAGGCACGAAACCCTTCAAGGGTCTGCTGAGAAATGGTGAGGTGTGAAACCCCTAAAAGGGTCTGCTGAGGGATGAGGGTCTGAGGGGTCTGAAACCCCTCACGGGGGCTGCTGAGGGATGGAGTGGGACACAAAATGGCATCTGATCATGGCTGGAGGAGCGAGGGGTCTGAAGCCCCTCAAAGGGTCTGCCGAGGGCTGAGGGGTCTAAAACCTCTCACAGGATCTGCTGAGGGGCACGAAACCCCTAAAAGGGTCTGCTGAGTGCTTGGGGGGTCATGAAATCCCTCACAGGATCTGCTGAGGGCAGTGCGGACCCCCCTCACAACTGGGGGCAGTGGGGACCTCCCTCGTGATGGCGGCAATGCAAACCCCCCTCATTCCGGGGGGCAGTGTGGATCCTCTTCATTATGGGGGGCAATGCAGACCCCCTCACGGTGGGGAACAATGCAAACCTCCTTCACGGCTCAGGGCAGTGCGGACCCCTGTCATAATGGGGGGCAATGTGGGCCTCCCCCACGGTGGGAGGCAATGTGGACCCATCTCATGATGGGGGGAAACGTGGACCCCCCTCATTAATGGGGGACAATGCGCCCCCCCCCCATTAGGGTGGGCAGTACGGACCCCCATCATTCCGGGGGCCATTGCAGACCTCCATCATTAATGGAGTCAAGGCAGCCGCCCCTCAGTAATGGAGTCGGTGCAGCCCGTCTCATTGCCGGGCACAGCGCGGCCCCAGCCCGGGGGCAGCGGCCCCTCTCCGCTGGGTGGGCGGCGGGGTCCCTCCATCTTGTGCAGCCCCGGCGCGCCGTCCCGCCCGCTTCCTCCCGCCCTCCCCTCCTCCTCCTCCTCCTCCTCCGCTGCCCGTCACGGCGCGGGTTTATAAGGCGCGGGCATTGCCCGGATGTGAGCGGCGGGCGCTGCGGCGATGCCCGGGCGGGCTGCGAGCGGCCGCGGCTCAGCGGGGGAGGCCGCGCTGCTCACCCGGACCGCCCGCCCCGCGCTGCCCTAAACTCGGACCAACTCTGGGAACCGCCGGCCCCGCGCCCCCCCTGCTTCTGGGTGGGTTTCTTTTTTTTTTTTTTTGGATTTGTTTGTTTGGGGGTTTTTTAAATTTTTTTTTCGAAAGGAAGGACGAGTCCCCGAGAGCCGCGGCGCCGCGAGCCCCTCACCATGTGTCTGTAAAAAACAATAGGGCAAAAGTTGTCGGACCTTCTTTTTTCTTTTTCTTTCCTTGTTTTTTTTTATTATTATTTTTATATGTATTTTTTAATTTATAATTTTTTTAATGGCCCCCCAAATCCCAACAAAGCCAGGTGTAGGGTGCCTGTAAAAGCTGTGGAATAAGCCGGAGCGGGACTGACACTTTCCCTACTTTTTGGTGGTTTCGGAGGGTCACACACGTGTGAGACAATAAAGCACTTTGGCAGAAGATTCCTCTCTTTTTATTTTGATTCTTTTGATTCCTTTTCTTTTTTTCCTTTTTTCCCCCCCCCTTGGAATATTGTGAACATATTTGTGGCCATTTAAGGTAAAGTTCCGATTTGCTGTTAGACTAACTTGTCTGTGTATTTTTTTTGCTTTCATTTTTATTTTTTGATTGAAATTGTCGATCCCGATGTGTTATTTAAAAAAAAAAAAAAAAAGAAAGAAAGAAAGTGCAAGTTCCGGGCTGTTTAAATAGATATACATTGTGTATACATTGCACAGACACGGTGTAACTACACGTGTGAGAGATACACCAAGGTGCAAACGCCGAGCGCGGGGACTCACTCGCTGCTTTATTTCCTACCGGAAAATGAAATCCAAGGAGTTGTTTTTTAGCGGTGTCGGGCCTGCGAGAGGAAAATACGGAATAAAAGTGGCAGAGGGGATGAGGGAAGCAGGAAGGGGAAGGGCGGGGGGTTGCTGGCAGCGTCCCCAAAAACTTGCGCGTAAATCCAAGCGGCTGCTTTGCAAAGTTTGCAGCGATGCTCCGGGAAAACGGGAAAGCTCGGGGCTGGGATCGAGCGGGAGGGCGGGAATAAACCGGCCCCGACAAAGTAAGGTTAGAGAGAGAAATATAAAAAACCCAAGAATACGAACGGGGAGCGGGCGATCCAAAGGGGGGAAAAACCTTGTTCCTGCCGGCCAAGTCCCCGCGTCACGTGCGCCCGCGGCCCCGTATAAACGCGCTCGCCATGTGTGTGCGCGAGCCGGGCGAATCCAAAGTGGAATCCTTGGAAAAGTGCGGCGGGAGCGGGCGGGAGCCGCTCTCGGAGCTCCATGAGCGGCGGCGGCGGGTACGGAGGCGGCGCCGGGGCTCGCCGGGGTCGGGGCCGCGGGGCTGGGCTGGGCTCCGTGCCCCTTCCCTTCCCTCTTCCCTTCCTTCCCTTCCCTCGGCTCCCCTCCCCCCGGGCGCTGCCTCCGCACAGGCCCAGCCGCTCCCGGCTTGTTGTCGGCCTTATCCCCCCCCTCCTCTCCGCAAATTAGGAATCGGGGCTAATTGTCCCCCGCTGCCCCCCCCGCCCCCGGAACCTGCACTTCGCATCTCGCCGTGCCTTTTTTTTTAATCTCCTCTCGCTCTTTGCCGTTTCTGCCTCCAAACGCTCCTTTGCGTGGAAGAAGGAGAAGGGAAAAAGTTGGGAGCGGATGGCTGTAGTTTCTTCTCTGGGATCCTCATTCATTCCTCGTTGAACCTCCTGTTGCATAAATGATGCTCCGGGAGCGAGGCTTTGCCTGTTTTTTTCTCCTCTGGATTTGGGTTTAAGAGTGGATGTTCCCGGGTTTCGCCTCTTTGGAAATACAATAGCGCCTTTTTTTTTTTTTCTCTTGTTGTTGTATTTTTTTGGTTTTTGTTGTTTTGGTTTTTTTTGCTGCCCCTCCATCTTTTTTTTCCCTCCCTCCTTCTTCTCAACCACCCACTCCCCGACCCCCCTTGAAAAAAAGCAAAATCCGACTGTGTTTCCTGCAAGGCTCGGGATTTCTGATTGCGGTTATTTCCATGTTTCTAGGTTTGTGTGATTTTGCTAAAATGCATCACCAACAGCGAATGGCTGCCTTAGGGACGGACAAAGAACTGAGTGATTTACTGGATTTCAGTGCGGTAAGAAACAACGGTGGAAATTAGCAACAGCTGTTAAAAAAACCCAAATCTTCTAGCTGCTCTGTTAACAAAAAAAAAAATAAATCCAACCCTCCTCCCCAAAAAAAAACCCTAAAGCGACAAAACCAACCCCAAACTGTGCTCTAAGTACATTGGGCAATTTTTAATCAGCAGCTAGAAGCACGGTAAATATCTGTTTTTGCTTAAAAGAAAAAATCCAAGCTGAGTGTTTGGAGTCTTTCTGATTGTGTGTGATGGGAGATGCAGGCGCGTTAGCAGCTTGGTTTCATGTCTCGGATGGCTTAAATAATTCCTGCCAGAAGAAACGCCCTGAAAACTGACCATTTCTCATCATTCCTCCATACCAATATTGCACTTTTACCGTGCTTTAGATTTGCGAGCATGGTTGGCACATGAACTAATTAATTGCTAATGAGTCGCTGATATTCTCCTTTCGGTTCTTCCCTTGTTTCGTTTTTTGGCACATGGAAAGTGCAAGGAAATCCACGACTGTCTCAGTTTAAAGTTTTCCCTGAAATCTCCTCTGGCTTCTGCTGGCGCTAAAGCTGCTCCGACCTTCTCGGCGCGGCCCTGGGCAGGGGTTTGGGGCGTTCTTTTCGCGGGGAGAAAGAGGTTTTTGTCCCCCTGGGCTGGTTTGGAGGCCGAACGTTCCGCCGGACGCGTGCACTTGTCTAGTTTTGTCAGGCTCCCCCTCCCCCTCCAGCCCCTTCCTTCCTCTCCCCATCCCCTCCCTTCCCCCCAATATGTCAGGAATATCTCTCTATCCACTTAGTTATTTATTTTAGGGCAGAGCTTTCGCTGGGAGATGCGGGGCCGCTCCTAAAGCCCGGCGAGGCCCCCCCCGCTCTCCCCCGCGTGCTCCAGGCTGGTGCTGCCGCTCCAGCCTCGGCTTCCGAGGGATGGCTGCGGGAAGTTTGGCCGGGAATCGTAACCCGCGGCAGCTCCGCAGCCCCCTCTCTGCTTGTCGGTGCACTTTTCCCATTTGTTCCCTGGCTTTTTGCAGGCTCTGACTCAGGGAAGGTGCGTATTATCCACCAGACGCGTCGGAGAAGGGAGAAACCAATTAGGGTCGGAATAAATGCTGGGAAGAGAGAGAGAGAGGAGCGCGAGAGAGGGAGGGAGAGGGGGCGAGGAGTGAGCCTGGCTTCCAATTGCTCGGTGGGAGAGACGGCATGAGAATTTAGGGCAGGTGGCACTTTGCATTATTATTATTTGGGTTCCCACATGCCAGGCAAATCCTGGAGCGGGATGGAAGTGGACGTTGCTACGTTGATGGCCAAGGTTGCGACCCAATCCCAACTTTTTCCGCCTTTGTCGGCGGGGAGAGCGGAGCCAGCCCCGATTCCCAGGCTGGAGAGCTGTCGGGCACTGGAATGGCTCGAAGTCTTCGGGAAGGGCAGATTGTTTGGGAAGCTAACGAGCCTGAGGAAAGCGGCATGCTGGTGGGGGCTGGCAGGAATCTGCACTCGTTTGGGGGACGATGGTTCGGGGAAGAGAAACTCCTGAGGACCGTGGAAGGAACTTTGGACTGCCAGAGGACTCGGGAATCGCTTGTTTTCCACTAGTAACGCCTCTTTGTTTTTTTTTTTAGATGTTTTCACCTCCCGTGAGCAGTGGGAAAAATGGACCAACTTCCTTGGCAAGTGGACATTTCACTGGCTCAAGTAGGTACCGTTTTTTGTTCCCTCTGTGCTGCAAATGCTGTGATTTATTTCTCCGTGGGCTTTACCTTTGTTGTGGTGCTTTAATCTCTCGTGGGGAGCAGATCCGTTCGGATTGGAGCGGAATTATTCCTAAGCACCGGTTATGATTATTCTGATTTTTATTATTTCCACGAGCCTGGGAGGTTTTTAGAGCACTGCCACACATTCCTGATTTTTGAAAAACCCCTGAACTTCCTCTCTGTGTAACTGCTGTTGAAAATTGTTCTGGTTTGAAAGTAGGTTTATCTTTTTCGTTTTTTAATTTGAGCCTCGGAGAATTTTTTTTTATTTCCAATTCCAAAGACTCTCTTTGTCTGGGAGGGATGAGAGTTGAAACCTCTCGCGTGCAAATGAATTTGGTGAGTCAGAACTGAAGCAGAATTGAAGCCGAATGGGAGGCTGCTGCAATTAAATATAGAAATCACAAGTATCTGAGGATAAAGGGCAGGAAAGGAAGTGTTTAGGATGAGAGAGGATGGAATATTTTTCGTGATTGGAACCCTTTCGGTCACTTTCTCGAGCTGGGGCATTTTGCTTGTGAATATCAGAGCGTTGCAGAAGCAGGATTTGTTTGTTTGTTATTTGGCTGTGGTGGGGCTGGACGGGCAAGTGCAGCATTCCCTGAAATCGGGAGTGGGATGACAAAGCGATCTCGGAGCTCTTGGCGGTGGAACATGTGTGGACAATAATTGTCTGGCAACTCCAGTTTTATAGGGAGGCTTTTATGTGCCTGACAGATGAGAAGGCAAACTCCCAGAGATCCTTATTGCCCATTTCCTTGCCCCGGGATGCAGTTGGTGTTCCTGCCTCAGCCCCAGGTAGGGAGCTGCAGTGTTTACAGCTCCACGTGCCAATGCTCCGGCCCGTCGGCTTGTACCCGGATCCTGGGCAAACCAGGGGGGAATTCGGGCACGGCTTCCCTGCAAACTGCCCCTGGATACCCACCTCATTCCAAAGGGTTTCATGCCCAATATTCCCAGCTTTTGCACGATTCAAGGCACCCCTTCTCTTTATCCAGCATTTCATTAATGCACTGGGTCATCAGTCAGCTTTTGATTTCCAGAGCAGGATTCCTAACTGGCAGTTGGTCTGCAGTGGAATGTTTTTTAAGCTCAGGTGCCACCTGAACACTCGTTTTGTGCCTTTTGTTCTGTGGAGCCTTTGGAAATAGCACTGTGGGTTTGTTTTATCTCCCCAAACTTGGTTATGTTGTGCTTGCAGCGACTTGGAGAATTTTGCCGTTGGGGTTGAACAACTTTCCGAACACGAGCTGTAGATTTTAATCCCATTTTTTGCCATTTTGCGCTGTAATTTTCCGAGCCGATTTCGGCAGATATGGAATATCCACTCTATTTGTTTTCAGGGGAGTGTTTGTGCCAGACAAATCAATTTGTCACACTCGGAGCCCGGTCCGTGCACAGCCACCACTTGGGCTGGGTGACCCCAGAGTTATATTTAATAATTCCATCCCAAGCCTCAGCTCTGGAGTCTCTTGGATCAGGAGGACAAACCAGGGAGTGATTAAATTGTGTTTTATTGTCTCCACAGCTGAAAGGATTCGAGGAACTTTGACACCTCCTGTAGCCAAGGAGGATGATTTAATGAGCTGCAGGAAGTGAGGGTTAGGGAGATAAAGACCACTTAAAACAACACCTGAACTGTGCCACGGACAGAATTCCAGCAGAATTCCTTGTCCACATTGATGCCTGGTGGTGGAGGAGGAAGGAGAAGCTTGAGGAAGCGCCCGGTGTTTGCACAATGGCAATGCAGGGGACTTCTGCGAGGGAAAATAACTGGAATTTTCCTCTTGGAATAGCTATTGCTCAGTAATTCGACAGGGAATTTTGCAGGAAGTGCTCAGTGCTTCCCAAAAAGCTGGGGGCGATGCCAGGGAGGTGCGTGGCCTGAGGATGGAGGTGCATGGCTATTGTCTGGAGCCCGTGCAGGGATGGGATGAGCCAGGGCTTGGGAAATCGGGATTGCACGGATAACACCGGGATAACTGCTCCGAGAGGGGTTTCTGTGCTCCGTGGCAGGACCGAAGGCAGCTCCGTCAATAATGGCAAACGTGGTTTATTATTCTAATGATGCACTTTGGGAACAGCGCGTTTGGGGAGCGGGAGGGATCCTGCTTTTCCTCCTGCAAGTTCTCCCTGGGAAGTTTGAGCCAGATTTTAATATTCCTCTTTAGGAATACATTTATTGAGACGAGGAACCTCAGATATCATTGCTCTGCATTAACCTGGAACTCCTTATAGGGAGAAAAAAGACGGAAAAACAGAGCCTCCAAAAGTAATGCCAGGCAGGGAAGTGAAACTAGCTGGACTCGAGGAAGTGTGGGAATAATTCCTGCTCCGAATCATTCCAGGGGCTTTTCCCTCAGCTAATCCACGACGCTCTGTTGTGATTTGCAGCGTGGTGGGGGGGGAAGAAAGTAAAGCCCTGTTGCCTTTGAGTCTCGAATTCCACAAACATGGCTTCTTCCCGTGTTCCAGCCCGGGGAGGGCTGCAGGGAGAAAGGAATGTAACCTGAGCTCCAGCCCTGACATTCCCAGGGAGCATTTTTCACATGAAAGGCTTTTGTGAGCCCAGGGAAGGCCCAGCAGCGTGTTTGATGTGTGCAGGTGTTGGGCACAGGGCTCCGCCGAGGCCGGAGCCTCTGACCTGCACCGGGAGAGCCGGGACTGGGAGCACCGGGGAGCCAAACTCCCCCGGAGTTCCCTCCGCCTTGGGTCGTGTTTGTGAAGTGATTTAAGAGCTGCTCCTTCCACTGAACAATGCACATTCATTGCGGGCACCTGGGGGGGGCTTTTGAGTTTTTCTGCTTTGTTTTCCCTTTTTTTAGGACGGTGGCCAAAAGAAAATGAATTTGCCCACATCACCTAAAATTTTGGGAAGAGTTTCCAACCCCTTCCTCAGCAAATTCATCACAAATTTATCCTACTTTGAGTGTGAGGCCCCATAAAATAAAGGGGTGACGGACCGGGGAGCAGTTTTGCCCCTGAGAATTCCCTGGGTCTGTCACATTCAGTTTAATTCGGGTTTTTATCCATTAATCAGGGCCCACATCTTCCTGATTCCCTTCGATTTCTGCTCCTTCTATTTAAAGCCTGGAATTTTACCTCCATTTGGGAGCATCTGCTCTGGATAGCCCACTCTGAGTGTCTCTGAATAGCGTGTGGGTGGCAGCAGAATCGGAGAAAAGCGGGATTTTTCTCATTGCCCATTCCCATGGCCCAGAAAAAAAGGGAAAAAATCTCCCATCTCTGCATCTCCCAATAAAGCAAAGTCCGTTTAAAGGATTTAAATCCTCGCTTTTCATTTTGCCATTAGTTTGATTAGGGCTTGGCCTGCATTAGAGCAACAAATTAATACATCTTTAATGAGGGAATCACAAATCCAGCTCGGGTTAAAGTCCACTTTTTTTTTGATTTGGGATGTTCTGTGAGGAAATTCTGACGAATATTGTGGGGAGTTTTTAAGCACAACCTGGTTTTGGAGTGTGGGGAAGCCGCAGAATTTTGCTGTTGGTGGTTGATCACCAAAAAAATGGAATTAAATCGAGGCTTTATCCAGAGGATGTTTTGGAGCTGCTCAGGTGAGGCACACCTGGGGATGCCGCCGTGGATCCCAGTATTCCCAGCAGAAATGTGTGCTAGGGAAGAAACACCCCATAGCAGAGAGAATTTGGGAAGGAGGGGATTATGATGCAGAATAGCCATTCAAGAGATAAAAAAGAGGGGGAAAATCCCCCAAAGAGCAATTCTCAGCCTTTTGCCCATAGTGCTGCACCAAGGAAGTGGTGCGGCAGGTCCAGAGCTCTCACCATTCCAGGGCGGGGAGCCCAGGTTTGCCGTGGGATATGCCAGGAAAGAGGGAAAACGATGATGGGCTTTGGGTGTTGGCTCGGCTCCGTCGCTCCTCGTTCCCTCCTTGGAATTCCAGGTCTCTGGGGGGCTGCAGGACCCTCGGGCCCCTCGGACCCGACCCCGGCTCCCTGTGCCATATCCCTCTTGTTCTCCCTGCTGAAAACTCCGGGGCTCCACAAAAGCGACTCCTTCCCTCTTTTCCATCCCTGAGGTTTCGTAATTATGATTAAGGAGAGCAGGAATGTTGTTGCCTCCCATCCTTCCAGCTATGTTTACCCGGGATCCTCCTCCTCTTCCAGCCCTATCCCGACCGCTTCCGTGGGGGTAGCCAGAGCCCCAGGCTGTGCTGTTGGGAAGTGGCCTGAGCCCCCCTGGAGCTGACTTGCAGAGCACAGAGGTTCCTCTGGGGCTCGGCTCTTACTCGCAGGAGCAAACTGAGTGTAGCTGCCAAGGCCACTGCGGGGCTGCAGCCACCTGCAGTCCCTGGGCTATGGAAATCTGGGAGCCCAGGGCCTGACTGGTAAGGAAAGAGATAAAGCAACCCGGCCATTCCCGGTGGATAACGGAGACTGGGAGCTGGAGGTGCTTTGGGCAGCCTCGTCCCGCGTTACCTCGTCTGCAATAGATGTAATAAATCAGAATCTGCTCTGGGGCCGCAGCCACCCGAATGTCACCTGCAGGGGGGACACCCCTGCCTGCCCTTCCCAAATCCAGCAGCAGCAGGGATGCTGCTTGACGTTATCCCGTGGATATCAGGGATCTGGGAACAAAGTGGGACCGTTAAACCAGGCAACTTGGGCCTGGCTTGGACTTAAGTGGGAGCACAAAGCCTGCTCGGGAGAAAAAATGAGGTGCAATTTGGCTTCTTCCCACTGGATTTGTGCTCGTGCCACTCCCAAATTCATATGGATTTTTGTCAGAGGCAAACGCAGCTTCCACGGCCCGAATTCCCAAGGAACATGGAATAGGCACAGATAACCCCAAATTTTCCTCTTTCACTACTTATTTCTGCAGTAGCCAAAAAATAATGGGATTTAATTTTTTTATCACTCCCCCTCTGTAATTTAAACTGAATTTGGGAATGCCTTGGAT